CACACACAGTCCCAGGGCTCAGGGGAGACGCGCACACGAGTCACCATCCCAGTCCCGAGAAACCGTGTCCGCGGCACTAGCCGCCGCATACACCCGTCCCCGAGAGCGTGGCTTGCCGGCTGGCGTTCTGCACGTGCCGGCCTTTGGCTCCCTGATGCTTCCTGGGCTCTCGGCCTTCTGTGGACGCTGCACGCCTCCCTCGTAAACTTGCTGAACAAAATATAAGTCTTTTGTCCACTCACTTCAGTAGTTTGAAGGTGACGTTCTGTGGTGTCATGTCAGTGTTTAAAAACTGACTGTGGTCACTGCTGCTGACTCTCCCCCGGGGGCCCCGCCTCCCAGGCCCGGGAGTCTAGTGAGCGGGCGTAGCCGGTGCCTGGCAGACCGCGAGGACGGTGTGGGAGGGACTCCGGAGGCTCCAGGCTGGAGGGCCAAGGAAGCGTTGTGATCTTGGGGGTGAAGCCAAAGACAGTCATACACATCAATATCTCACACATTTAGATTTTAACATAGACGCGGTCATTCCCTCCTTTTTCTGAGGCGGAACGTTAAAGTGGTTTTACTGCCGACGTGTGCGCATATATCCATATGCAGCTGCAGGGTTGCTTTTGATACTTAAAAGCTGGTGCCCTCGGGTTCCAGTTTGCCTGTGAGCTCTTGGTCCAGTGGACACCTGCTGCCTCCCTGTCCTCCTTACACCCTGACCAGGGTCTGGGTGATGCTCCCCTTTCCCTTCAGTGCTGACCCTCTTTGGTTCTGTCAACTCAACTAACTGTGACAAGTGTTTTTGCTCAAGTGTCTCTGAGCAGGGAGGTCGGCGTCACTGCAATCCTTGGGTCTCCAGCAGACTCCTTCCAGAAAGTAGTCCACTGTAGCAAGCTTTGATGCACGGAAGTGGGAGGAAGGGACAGAGCTGTCACAGATGAGCCTTGAACCCTTTCTTTGCCTTAGGGGCACAAGAGGAAAAACTGGAAGGTGCGGCGCTTTGTTCTGAGGAAGGATCCGGCTTTCCTGCATTACTATGACCCTTCCAAAGTGAGTGCCGCACGTCCACTTGGCACCCGGGTGTGAGGCTTCAGACACTTGGCTCCCAAGTCCAGCGGGCAGCTGGCACTTGCTTCCTTCCTCCCAGCATCCCTGCCCTCACTTCCGCTGTGCTCTATGCCTTTCCTCCCACAATCCAAGCCACACTCAGCGGTCTGATCATTTCTTTCTCTCAGCATGCTGTTGCCTGTGCGGAGGGTTATCATTATTCTGAGAGGAAAGCATCTTTTAGTTTCTCCAAAGCTCTTTGTGGGGCTGGGGAAGGTGGGGTGGGCTAAAGGAGACTAACTGGTGCTCCCCAGGCCTCTTCACCCCTTTCTGTGCGGAGATCCCATGAATTCTGCCCCTCAACCCGTTGTCCCCACTGATGTTGTGGAAAGTTTCTTTTATCATGTACTGTTTAAGCCATAATTTACTAATTGTGATTAGTAATGATTTGATTCTATGATTGATTATGATTTGATTCTAACTGATCAAAGAATTGCTACTCTGAGTTTCAGAAAATAAGTATTATTGCATGATGAGTTGATCGAATTCCAGTCAAAACCAAAGATAAATGGTCTTTGAGCTGGCCTGTCCAGCCTTGTCTTGGTAGATGTATGATTTTCATTCAGTTTTTGAAATATTGAAGAGTGGGCAGTTCCTCCCTCACCAAGCTTGTCAAGAATCCCCGCCCTAAGGGGAGCGCCTGAAGGAGTGAGAAGGAGCCCTCTGGGACCCTGGCAGACGACAGGGAGGGCCGTGGGGCCAGGGAGGAGTGTGGCCCTGCAGGCTGTTGGCAGTGAAACGAAGCGCAGACTTCCTTATGGTGCATGTAACGTGGCCACGTGATGTCCAAATTCGGCCTCATCTATTACAGATGACTCTCACCGACTTCGTCAGCTGGCCTCAGGGTGGTTTCAGGCAACAGGGCAACTCCTTTCTCCCTTTTGTGCATTAACACTATGCCTCATCAGGAATTCTTTCTGCTGCAGGAGGAGAACCGGCCAGTGGGTGGGTTTTCTCTTCGTGGCTCACTCGTGTCTGCTCTGGAGGATAACGGCGTTCCCACTGGTAAGGTGCAGCTCCGGGCCGGCCTGCAGGCCTCGGGGTGCTCCCCGCCGGTCGCTCTCTCAGTGGCACTCTGCCGATGGACTGAGCGACGGGGGCTCAGTGAGACGGTCTCAGTGAGACGATGAATAGCCCGAGTTTTAGAGCCAATTTCAGAATGAGGAAAAAGGGCATGTGGGGTCTTCTCAGTGTTTTAACAACGCAACGAAATAATCCTTGTCTCTGGTATCCTTTCCCCTCAGTTTCTGTGCTTACTGGCAGATAAGCTTCCACCTAAGAATAGCAGCCTACACAGTGTTTAAGGGTTAGCAACACACGTTAGTATCTATTAGCACACTAATTTCACAATAGCCAGCTAAGAAAGACAGTATTGTTCCCATTTTATGGATGTGGAAACTGAGGTTCAAAGAAGCTAAACAAGTTAAAGTCAAGTCCCAAATCTGTGCCTACTTTTAACATAAACATTCTGGATTCTTGGACGTGAATGGAACTGTAGATCTGTGGTTAGTGTAGGCAGCAGGCCAAGAGGGCACAGCGGAGGGATGGGGAGTGGAAAGGAGGAAAAGAGGAAAGTGGGCATCTGGTGGGATTCCCTAACCACATACATGGGTATTTAAGAAATACTTCGTGTGTATTTTTGTTTGTGGCTCAGTTTGACTTCTAGCTGAAAGCAGACACAGATACTCACAAATTTTTCTTCTGTCTAGGGGTTAAAGGGAATGTCCAGGGGAATCTCTTCAAAGTGATTACCAAGGATGACACACACTATTATATCCAGGCCAGCAGCAAGGCTGAGCGAACGGAGTGGATTGAAGCTATCAAAAAGCTAACGTGACAAGGAAATGTGTTCCCAAAGGAACAAGACAGGATTCCTCCCTCCTACCAGATGGTACAGACAGGATTTCCTGCAGAATGAGAGTGTGTTAAGACTTTTAGCTTCTTTGGATATTTTGTACAGCTTTGCAGTGAGACTGGAGTTCCTTCGCTCACAATCGGCAGTGGTGCTATTTCCTTCCCCACCTTCCTGTTAACAGCCTGGAAATGCTAGGACCGCCGTTAGGCATCAGCATCTTGACTTTCACCCATCCTTACAGCTAGCCATTCCTCCAGCACCAAAGTAGGTTTCCCTGTTGTAACACTAACTAGCCATATTGTAATACTAAATAAAACACTAGTCTCATGTTGGCTTTCTCTGAAATGCTGTCAAAAACTAACTCCTTCTCTGGAATTAATAAAAACTGACACATTTCTAGCTATTAGAATTCCTGTGTGAAGTTTTTATAGTTTTCAAAGGTTTTTCATGCTTGAGGCTATTCAAATTATTATGGAAGATTATGAAAACATCTCAAGTGATCTCTGTCACTAAGACATGCTTCGTATTAAAATGGGGATAGTGGCAAAATTGTGAACATTGTTTTGCTTTGAAAAATAAGCCTGCATAAGTATACACTACAGAAATCATGGACTCAGTTGGAGATTAGTCACACATACAACAAAGAGTAAAACTACAGCATTTCTATGAAAAATGGCAATTCAGAAAGAGACGCACAGCAGGAGCGGCTAAAGGACAGAGAAAGATGTAAACGGTAAAATAATTAGGGAATGAGATTTTGGTTTTAAAGTGAACATTAACTGAGACATATAGGTACCAAGAAGCTTCACCAGTTGGGAGGTTAATCTGAAGTAGTGAAAAGTCTGTATCATACAATATCTTTAAAAACATTTTTATTACTTTCAAGTTTATACAGTAATCTGGCACAAGCTACTGCCAGCATTCTTGCCAAGTACAAGTGCTTTGACTTCCTTTAATGAATAGATATGTAACTTACATTTATGGGGAGTAGATACTTCCAAAGTGCTTAAGGAAAAAATTTTCCTTTTAAATAGTGTGAACTGTCTCCTCTTAATCTTGTCTAGAATACCTGACCTGCACGATCAGGAATTCCAAGCTAATGAGGTTTTATTTTATTCCTTACATTGTAAGAGACTGCCTTTTAAAGCACCATTTTCCATTTGGCATTTCACCAAGGTCTAATGTCCCTGGAATTATTTCTTTATTGCTCTTTGAATATCAACAGGTGTTTATCTAAATTAAACTGCATTTGGTGTGATGGCTTGACTCCCAAATTGGCACAACTGCACCCTGTTCTGTATAGGGCTATCAGAATCTGTGTTGAAAAAGTAGATGGCCATCACCTTGAGGCAACTCTTGCCAAAGTACTAGTACTTGGATTTTTAAAAAATCCCAAACCATTTTAATTTAATGGTTCTTCACACAAAAGTACTAGGTCAAGAGTGTTTGAAAGGATGGCAGCTGAGTAATAACCGCAATGCCTAGCGTGTCTCTGTAGGTTCTCACTAAATGAGTATAACCCATGTACATACTGGTTGTCTTGTTTTGCTATAAAACACAGCAAATGAAAATGTTCCCATTTTTTTCTCAGCTACTTTTGACTTTCAGTTATGATTAAACGAGACCTGAGCTATTGCTGATTTTCAGCTGTATGAGTTGATAACCGCTTTAACGCACAGGCAGAATGGGGAGATGAAATTGTCAATTTTTAATGAAAAGTCTTCGTATGGTGATCCGAGATTTGGATAAACTGGTCAGTTGTCTTTGTCAATCTGCTCCTCAAGTTACTTGGAGCTGGGTGTGTAGCCTGTCCTCATATTTGAAAGTGATATTTTTAGGTCAGCAGGTATGTATGCTTTAAGTTTAATTAGGTCTCTCCTTCATGGTGTCAGTGAGGTATTAATCTTTTCTCTGGGAAGGGTCATAAATTTTGCAAAACTGTTGTGGAACTGAGCAAAAGGCTTGCATGGGATAAAAATCACTCACCATGGAGGTCACCAGTATTTCTCAACGGTTATGCCTTGAAGTGTAAAAAATTCAGGAAACAAAGTGGAAGTTCAATTCAATTCCCCTGCCTACAACAAACATTTAAGGAGCACCTGTTATATATTGAGGACATTCTTGATGCCACAAGCTTTATAGACTTGTTTTCTGACTCCTCAAAAAGACCAAAATGAAAATCATGTGCCAATTTTGAGCACACCTAAATCCTCACCTAAATATTCCCAGTATGGCATGTACTAGCAATCATGGCTACCTCGCGGCAATAGTCACATGAGGTTATACTTGTGGATTTAAAAAGCTAGTAGAGGCTGCTTAAAGAGGGGCAAACCAAATATGGCATAAACTGTCTCACCCACACACTTCTATTTTCCAGTCCCTTTAATACTGAATTAAGTCTAGTACTCAATCAATTAAGGTGGGTTAGGTTTAATCTTTTAAGTATTTAAATAGCTATTCTTAGGAATAATTAATAAAATAAATCTAGTACCTCAAGTATCCTAAGAGATTAAATCTATGAAAAAGACCAAAGTAACTCAACACTTTTTACACCCTGGCTAACGTAGCTGTAACTTCAAACCATGTGTTATCTATGAAATCTATTTACTTTTATTATTTATTTACCTTTAGATTCATATACCTTTTAAACAATTAGCTCTTAAACACAAAAATGATGGAAATGTCAAAAAATTATTTCAATTGTGTTTAATCAGATCCCTATTCGTTATAAAGAGCTGAAGCTCTAGGTGGCACCTAGTGAATATGTTAATGGGGGAAAAAAAAATTAAAAGTTGGGCAACGATACTCTAAATAACTAAAGCAGCAGCATCTTTAAAAATGAAAGAAAACAAAAAACTTTACCACCCTGAATTACAAACTCAGGGAAAGCAGCTTAGTACACCAACAAGGACCAGTGTGATAAATTCTCCCTCATACCATATATTGTTCTCATACCATATCCTGTTCAATATTTACCATATATTGGTAAAAGGCACACATCCTATCTAATTTTAAAATTCGCATTTTAAGGCTTTTTTCCCCTAAGAGTCAACTTTAACTGTGGTTAAAATTATTTTCTCTACACCCTCCTTTTGAAAGGATCCGCTATATAGATCTTTTGGTCACCTGCCCCTATATTTCTACATCTAGACTAAAATGAAAGTAATAGAATTAGGGTCTTAGTAATCATAATGCTTTTAACTGGTGACAAGAAGGAAGAAGCCTATAGTTAAATATCCCAGAAATTTATTTAATGTTTGCTTGATACATTTTATATAGAAAGGTTGAGGCTATTTGCTTTGGGTGCCCCTGGTAAATCTCAGGGAGGCACTGAACTACAAAGGGGTGCCAATCTGGAGACATCAGAAATGGAAACCACAAGCCCAATTTTATGACTGTTCTTAAAGATTTGTCTCTAGTGAAGTTAGGCCCACTCCCTTAAAAACTGCTGAATGGTGGAGCTCTTGTGTGAAAACAGCTGACTTTTAGGAGGGCATGTCACGTTTTGGTCTGTTGGAACATTTAAATACTTGGAAATAAAAAATATTCAGCTTTGAAGTTTTCAATACTGGAAAACTTTCAAGTCTAGGGTTTACAGCCAGGAAGGGCTGCTTTGTGTTCCTTAAACTGGACTGTTTCCCACAAAGTTAATCTTCGGCTTTGGCTTCCATTTCTTCTGCATCATCATCTCCATCCACTTCTGCATTCTCTCTTTCAAGCCTCTCAAGCTGCCTTGCAAGTTCGGTCTCATCTGTATCTGTGACCACTTTAGGCTGCGGAAGCAGAGGCATCATTTCAAAGTGAGGTAGTTCAACAGTATGCAAATTCCACTTCAACACTATTACTGCCTAGTATTTTAACTCTTTTTAAAGAACCACCTGTCCTAACAACTCTGCTCTATCTGTTCATTTTTGAGTGCTACATCATTAATAAATTCCATTAGATAAATATTAGGAGAAATGGATGAGAGTAACACAATCTAGGAAAAAGAAATATGTGTGTAGTAAAACAGAATATTCCTGTTATCTCTATAAGCCAAAACTGAAAAAAATATGAAAATAATCTCAGTGGCTTTATCTTTAAAACCCAAAAAGATGTCTTGTAAAAATGCATCTTCTGGATTCAAAATAAACTAGTTTCTTCTAAATAGGTTTCATTTTTGTTGAGATGAGGAAAATACACTAATGCTGTTTCTAATCCTCAGATCATATTTTAAGCCTTCCATATTAAATTCTGACAATAATCAATCACTCATTTTTGTTGCCTAATTTTTTCCTTTGGCGGGGGCATAAACCTAACACCATCAGTGACCTCAGTCATGAATAACCATCACAAGACAGTTCTCATTTACTCATAAAAAGCCCTTTTAGAACCCTCTGAGTCAATGATTATTTTAGGCTTAACAGTGTTATAATCCTACATGTATCTCATGTTTTGAAAAGCCGTGATTAAGGATTTTAGAATGCAAATCATTTAGATGACTTAAATATCTGTATCTATCTACTGATCGATCGTGATCTCTAACCCCAACATGGGGTTTGAACTCACAACCCTGAGATCAAGAGTTGCATGCTCCTACCGACTAAGCCAGGCAGGCGCCCCTAAATTTCTTACATATTTTAAGAAAAAGGCAGAATCACTATAGATCTTACCTCCATTTGAACATTGAAGACACCCCTCTTTTCCTCAATCTTTTCTTTAATAACAGCCATAGCTTGATTGAGAACAGAGAGGCCTTCTGTTCTCTCCAGGGTTGTTGTAGTCATCACATACCGAGGAGGAGCTATTAGATTAATCTAAGGAACAAGACAAATATTCAATTATGAACATACCTATACAACACAAAACTATTAGGATGTTTAAGAACTCTTCCTTTCTGATGCCTAAACAAATCACCCAAAACTTAATTTCCAATCCTGTAAGTCAGCAATTTGGGGGTGGTCTGTTAGCAAAAGCGAATTGATACAAGTGATATAATCCAGTATAAACAGTCTACTGCAATACCAAATATGTTGAATTACGACTTTCAGGTGTCTTTGGTAGCTAAACTAACTGTAGCCATCATCAGAATGGATACTTTGTCTCGAAAACAAAAATTCTTACTTGGTTTTAAACTAAACTGATGGAAGAAAATCTGAGATTGTGAATAACAACCATCTGGTTAATTTTATTGCTTAAAAGATTCAGACCAAACTCCTAAAAGATGTGTGTGAATACGAGAGAATATGTTACCCTTTTCAAGGTCCTAGGAGCATTATGGACTCAGGAATGCTTTAAGTTTCGCACAGCTGGCCCTCTGGCACTAAATACGAATCAGAATCTTTATCCACTGTGACACTAGCAGTAGCATCCCTTAGACAACATCACCGAGAACCATTTTTCCTTAACACTTGTTATGAAATATGA